CCCACCCCCACCCCCCCCCCCCCCCCCCAATTTTTTTCCTCAAGAGAAAGATGAAAAGGATACGCACTGTGCATTCACTTATTTTCAAAAAAAACTTATCTGCCTACTCTTGTTGTAATTTATTTCTTCACATTTGTCACAAGTCCTCTTTTTGCAAAATACTCTTCTCTAGTAGTATCATCTAACCTAATGTGTAATCTTGCTTTTCCAGGCATGCCTTTGAATTTCTTGGGTCTTGGTGTAGGTAAAAACTGAATATAAGCCATGCTTCGTGAAATTATATTTCTGCTCCAATTTGTTTTGATGTTATGTTTCACAATTATTATTTACAGGTGGCGGCTGTGGGGTTGGAGTAGGCCTCGGATGGGGATTTGGCTCTGCCTTTGGTAGCCAGTACAGGAACTCTAGAGTTACATTTGACGGCACAGATTTTATCAATAAGGAGCATAGTGAAGAAAGAGATTCAAAAGATCTAGCCAAAGGCACTCGAAAAGCTCATTCTTCTCAGTAAATATACACATCTTCTGTTGATGCACTGATATTCTCACTTCAAAATTTGTCAAAGTTGTACAACTAGTTCCATTTCAGCTATCACTTGGAAACATATGTAGTATCATTTGACAGCACTCTCTTCTTTGATGTGTAAAATTTGTTTCCTTATGATGCTTGGAAAAATCTGTACTTGAAGCTTTAGCTTGATATGGAAACAAGAGTGGGTGGGATTGGGGAGAGAAGAACATATTTTAGCACAATACACTGATAATGTAAAGTTTAAGGAGAGTCTTGGAGTAACAGTAAAGTTGTCTCCGGGTGACCTATATGTCACAGGTGCAAGCTGTGAAAGCAGTCACTAATGTTTGCATTAGAGTAAGTGTATACATCACCACACCCGTTAGGGTGCAGCCCTTTCATGAACCGTGAATGTGGGATGCTTTGTGCCCTAAGCTGTCTTTTTTATATGTAAAAGTTCTTTTGCTCTATCAATGCATAAACATAAATCATTTCATCCTCTCATTTTTTTTACCTTATTAAGGAATTTTATGACACCCCACCTACTCATCTCCAATTGTGGAGGAGAAAAATATGTTGACTGTTGAAGATCAGGTAGATACATACACATATGAAACAAAAATGGTAGATAATAATCACATGGACTTCAACCTACCTACCTTTCCTCACTCTCTTTTTCTTGCTGACCAATAAGTCCCCATTGCCATTATAAGTACTAAAACTCTTATTCCATACCCCCAAAACATACCCCCAAAACATGGACACAGAAAGAATGTTCACCCTTTCTCAAGTTGCACAACACAAGTCAAAGCAAGATTGCTGGATCGTCATCCATGGCAGAGTACTATCTCCACCTTCCCCCGGGACCGTTACTAGCATGTTTGACTTAACTCACTGTTTTCTTGGACGTGTATAAAGAGCATAATCATCGACTCTAAGAATATATGTTATGTATTTTTCAGGTAATAGACGTTACGAAGTTTCTTGAAGAACATCCTGGAGGAGAAGAAGTGTTGATTGAATCAGCTGGAAAGGATGCAACTAAAGAATTTGAAGATATTGGACATAGTAAAGCTGCCAAGAACTATATCTTGAAATACCAGATTGGATATCTTCAAGGCTATAAAATCCAAGATGATGATGATGATAATTTGTTTACTGATTCCAACAAAGAACCAATAAAGACAAAAGAAATTGAAGCTTTTGTGATCAAACAAAACTCCAAGCCCAAGTATCTGGTTTTTGTTGAGTATTTTGTGCCTTTCTTGGCTGCTGCATTCTTTCTGTATTATCGATATCTCAATGGAGCTCTCCAGCTTTGAACTCCCACAACAAAGGGATTATCATATGATTTTCATTGATACTAAGTGTTTATTTCAAACTTCAAATAGGGGGAGAAACCTTATACATTGGTTGTGTTCTTAAGAAAGGTGAATCTGGAAAATGTACTCTTCATTATTACTCTCTCCGTCGCAATTTATATGATGTAGTTTGACGTAGTTTATACAATATCGATACATTGCATATACATTTACAGCTACTTAAGAAGCCCAAAAAAGAATACTAAGAGAACTTAAACCCAAAAGTGAATAAGTACAGTAATACAATAATATACAAGATTTAGCAAGTCAAATAGACCTAATCGTCTCTTTCATTTCTGTATACAACAACATATCCAGTGTAATCCCACATAATGGGGTTTGGAGAGGGTAGAGTGCACGCACACCTTACCCTAACCTTGGAGGCAGAGAGGTTGTTTCCGATGGACGGAATATCATAATACAACATAATTTGGTCTCCACTAATGGTGATAAGGTATTACTACAAAGTATGTTGAGATAATAGCACCAGCTTTGCATCACCTGAACAAAATTACATGTAATTTACACCTTTCCTCTATAAGGTAATACCAAAACTGAGGCCCCTTCTCCTCTGACCGTCTCGACATTGCAAGTTCATCAATTATAGGGATAAAGGTTCATCTTTCAAATTGTACGGACTGCCACTAGAACTGCAGCAGGGAAAAAAAATAACTCAGGCACCAACTAACAAATGAAACTAGTTTTATGTCTAACGATGCATCACCAATACAAATATACACTATACAAGGCCAAATATTGTAAAATATATACGTATGCAGCTCAACGTAATACTAAAATGGATGCACACTGGCACAACAGGTTTTCAGATCTATCTACTTTATGACAGTACAATCTTACCTTAAAGCCAATGATACTTGCAAGTAGGAAATAAACTAACATAGTTACTGCATATCTTGTTAACAAGGGGGTCCATCGATGGATCTATAGCTGATCTTACAAGCAAATTAGGGTTCCATAAATTGTCATTTATGCTGTTAACTTTTTATGATTTCATCCGAAGACTGCACCAAAAGACATTAAGATATGTTGGGTTATACTGATTTACTGTCAAAGAAAGAATTGGCAATACCCCAAACATCCTACAATTTGAAATATGTAAGTTGCTTCAACAACACCACAAGGAGACACTACCATTTCTTTTCTTTTTTAATAACAATGGTGTACGACCTCGACTATTCCACCAGTTCCTGCTACCTCCCACCAGCAGAAGTACCGGGTAAAGAGCTAGGTTTATTTTGTTTAACCAACACATGTGCTCCACTGTACTTGGCATCAATATTTTAATGATGCTCTGTGATCGTGTTGGGGGAAGGAGAACGCCCGAAGCAGAATCAAACTAATAGCATGTTTGGCCAAGCTTTTGGAAAGTCAAGTGTTGTTTTAAAAATGCGTATTATAGAGAGTCGAGGTGTTTGGCCAAACTTTTAAGAATAAAATAAGTGCTTCTGAGTAGTAGCAAAAGTTGTTTTAAGAAGCAAAAAAAGCAGTTTTTCTCCCGAAACACCTTTGGAACCTTAACCAAGCACAAATTACTTATCTAATTTTGGCAAAAGTGCTTTTAAATGATAAGCCAAATGCAAACTACTACTCTCCAAAAGTACTGTTTCTAAAAGCAATTCTAACAAAAAACACTTTTCAAAATGAGCAGATTTTTGGAAGTTTGGCAATACAAGCTATATAAGTATTGGTAGATTTAGTGGCATCTACTAACAGACAACCATAGACTACTGATATTTGGGATGTCATCAAAGATATGGCAGTCAAATCGTGAAGTCAATGATTGTATAGGTGTCTATGGCTGGGAAATTGAACTTCTTCCATTTGCCAGGGAATAAAATCCTATTCTTCCTCAGATGGTACCATTGTCTCTGCCAAAGGAGTCTTCCGCGCTAGTAGCCCTTCCAACAACAGACTCAAGAAAAAAGGAAGCATTCAGCAGACACAAGGACTTGGGACTTGATACGGGTTCTTTCATTTGAAACAGTATTTTTCCTTTTCAAAGTTGAATTCATCTGTGAATGAATATCATCCACCCCTTATCTCCTCATCTTCCTATTTATAAGTCAATACTTCAACATTTTCGATTTCCCATAAAATCTCTGATGCATTCCTAGCCACAAAAATTTTCCATTCATTACTTCAACTATTAGTCTAGTACCGATCGATAGGAGAGAGAAACATATGGATTAGTTCAATTAGTTAGTTATTGGCATATTCCGGATTCCAAGAGAGACCGGGTCTGGTTTGCAAAAGTTTGAGCTTACCTCATCTCAGCTCAATCTTTCCATGAACCTGAATCATTCGTTGAAGTCTCCAATCATTCTTGCTGGAGAGATGGCTATACAGGAAGAAATCAATTCCCAAGAAAAAAAAATGAAAGAAATAACAAATGTGTATCTACAGAGCAGGTACTCTTTGCTTTGTTTTCTTTCTTTTGATTGGAAGGAGTGGACATAAGAAGAAAAAGGTTATTTGTTCGGTATACCTCTCAATTGCAGAATATGTATTCGAGATTTGTAGCAGAAAACAAAAAAAAAAAAGAGCTTAGTTTAACAGAAGCTGCAATCCAATAAAATTACAGGGAACTAAAAGGTAATTACCTAGCTCTCTTTCTTGGTGCAAGTGCCAAATTTCTACAAAAGATTATCTATGTCCAATTTTTTATCTATCTTCCTTTATGTGCATTGTTTAGAGCATTTCTACAGCGACCCCAAGTCATTTATAACTTGCTGGGACTAACAGTTCGTTTGGTAGTTATGTGATTTTCTAGTTTTTGGAGCTTATGAACCTTGAACGATCATTTTCGATCAAAAGTTCAAGAAAATGACATCTAAATCCAATTTTGACAATTCCATCAGCTCTGGAAGAGTCATTTTAGGCTAGTAGAATGGTCGGCATGACTCCTGAGATTTTCGGTGTGAGTTGATGTGATTAGACGTTTTAACCTTAAAGTTTAAGTTTTGACTTAAGTCAACATTCTAAGTAAACGCGCTCAGATGCGAATTTTGTCAGTGCGGTTAGCTCCAAATGTCGAGTTTGGTCTAGATGGACCCTTCGTTCGTGTCTCGAGATAATTCTGAGCCTCTTGTGGATTTTGACTTAAAATGACAGTTGGTTGTGGGACCCACTAGATGGTCTCGTATGAAAATTTAGACTGCACCATTGAGTCCGGTATATCAAATTCGGTATGGTTGCATATCCCGTTTGTGTGCACGGGGTTCCGAACGAGTTCATAACACCCCATCGGAGTTTTTAAGTTTCCAAATAAAATGCTGAAATCTGGTGCATATATAGTAGAACTATCAGCTCATTTTGGAAATTTTAAAACCCCACATCTCTCTCATTTCTTGGCCAAATGAGGTGATTCAAAGTGTGGAAGCTTCGTTTTGATGCTTCGAGAGTGATCAAAAGTTGTCGGGTGTGCATTGTTCAAGGTAAAATCGTGATAAACCAGACTACTATAGCTCTTTTCGTTCTTGTTTTTGGCTATATTGATTTGGTGATATCTTGCTCATTTTAGCTCGATTTTGGATGATTCGAAGTCCCACGTGTCAGGAATTATCGAGGCTACGTCATGGAGTGTTCAAGAAGTGTTGGGCATCCTTTGATTTTGGTAAATTCCGAGTTTTACCTACTATATTTTTTTTCAAAATTGATTATAGTGTGATATTTGCATGTTGGGTTTTCGCTGCGTTTCAAGCCCCGAATTGTGTTCCATTCCATTTTGAAACACAAGTTCAGGGTACAGAGCAGTGCACTCCCAGCCTAGCTAGAAAAAGTGACCCCGGGGGGCACCTAACCAGACAGTCCACTCCCAGCCCAGCTAGAAAGAGGGACCTGTGGGTGAGGTAGATATCGCGAGTAGTCCTACCATGCAGTCAGCTCCAAGTCCGGCTAGAAAGAAGGCTCAGGGGCAATCGCCGAAATCACTGAGTCCACCCAGCCAGCGGTACGCTCCCAGCCCAGCTAGAAAGAACAACCTCGGGGGTAATGGTATCTCCAATAGGATCCAATCTAGCAATTGCCACCGTGGAACATCATTCACTCCCAGATATCAGAGAAAAAGGCTTCAAGCCATACTATCTCAATCCCACGCCTCTAGTGATGCATCGAACATCCGAGAAGCATCGGAATCACATAATTCAAGGGAGAAGATACAGAAGTGCAACAAGCAGCCATAGCGCCTACTCTAAGGCTCAAACTATCAGACTTCGCCAAAAGACTCAAAACAATACCCCAAACTTTTGTTCCAAAATGGAACACAATTCAGAGCTCAAAACGCAGCGAAAACCCAACATGCAAATAAATCACACTATAATTGATTTTGAAAAAAAACATGTAGGAGGTAAAACTCGGAACTGACCAAAATCGAAGGATGCCAAGCACTCCTTATTCACTCCACGACGTAGCTTCGATAATTCCCGAAACATGGGACTTCGAATCACCTAAAACCGAGCTAAAATGAGCAAGATATAACCAAAAAATATAGCCAAAAACAAGAACTCGAAAAGAGCTACAGCAGTTTGATTTATCGTGATTTTACCTCGAACGACGCACACCCGACAACTTCCGATAACTCTATAGCGAAGCCACCATCAAAATGAAGCTTCTACACTTTGAATCTCAATCACCTCATTTGACCAAGAAATGAGAGAGATATGGGGTTTTGAAGTTTCCAAAATGAGCTGATATTTCTGCTATATATGCACTAGATTTCAGTTTTTTTTTTTGGAAACTTAGAAACTCCGACAGGGTGTTCCGAACTTTTTCGGATCCCCGTGCACGCAAATGAGATATGCAACCATACCGGACTCAATGGCGCAGTCTAAATTTCCATACGAGGTCATCTTGACAAAAAGTGGGCCCACACCCAACCGTCATTTTAAGTCAAAATCCACAAGGGGATCCATTAGCTCGGAAGCCTCGGGTCACGAACAAAGTGTCAATCTAGACCAAACACGATATTCTGGAGCTAACAGCACTGACGGAATTCGCATCCGAGCACGTTTACTCAGAATGTTGGCTAAAGTCAAACTTAGGCTTAAATTTTAAAGTTAAAACGCCTAACCACACCCAACCGTCATTTTAAGTCAAAATCCACAAGGGGATCCATTAGCTCGGAAGCCTCGGGACGCGAACGAAGTGTCAATCTAGACCAAACACGATATTATGGAGTTAACCGCACTGACGGAATTCGCATCCGAGCACGTTTACTCAAAATGTTGGCTAAAGTCAAACTTAGGCTTAAATTTTAAAGTTAAAACGCCTAATCACACTAACTCACACTGAAAACCTCAAGAGTCATGCCGACCATGCAGCTAGCCTTAAATGACCCTTCCGAAGCTGATGGAATCGTTAGAATTGGATTCAGATGTCATCTTCTTAAACTTTTGATCGAAAATGATTGTTCAAGGTTCATAAGCTCCAAAAACTAGAAAATCACATAACTACCAAACGAACGGCCAGGTGACCAAACTGTCAGTCCCAACAAGTCATAAATGACTTGGGGTTGCAACAGGAACGCTCTAAACGACGCACAGAAGGCAAAATATAGAAATGACCCAGAAGGTTATTACACTTTAAACCTGCAACTTTCTCTCAAGAACCTCCGCATGTTACTCTAGCTGCCTCATTCTCTTAAGTATTGTACGGAAACCAGATGTATATCAAGTTCATTCCGGTGATCATTAGTCATACTGCGATGAAAGAAAAAAAAAAGGAGTGGAACTTATGAAACTTCTCACCAAGGGGAAAAACTCTACTTACCAACTCTAAAATAGACTATACGTACACTTCCTGATTCTGTAAATCTTGCTGAAAAGAGAATGTCATTATACTCATTTGAAGGAAATTTTACTTTATTTAGAAAAAAGAAGAAATTATACTCTTTGAGAAGTTTTTCCCTTGAAATTATACTCTTTGAGAAGTTTTTCCCTTTTAGGTGAGAGACAAGTCAAGAGGGCTTCACTTAAGGATAGAGTTGCTCCTTTGGTAAACTAAAGGTCATGGGTTCGATTCTTTGGAGAAATACAAGGGGAAGCTGCATATAGCATACACCCAATCCTCCCCCACACAGTACGAGCTGGTAGCACTTCAGACACAGGGAGATCCCAATTGAAACCTTTTTATAGTAAATAATTCTACATAAAAAAAAAAAAGGGCAGCTCGGGGTCTGAGATAGTTCTACTTGTCATATATAAATAACTTCTCTCGAGTCTCTACTAGAAAATAGAAGGATATGTAAATCAAAAGAATCATCAGTGCAAGCAGGCTGAAATTAAAAAAATGGTTAGAATAGCATCAATGGCACAGAAAACTCAATATCTAATTGATGATTTTCCCAATCCAGAAGAAATGAAGAAAAACCTCGGCAGCACAGAATCCACTATAAAGGATTTCTTTTTCTTAGTACTTTCAAAATCTGTTTATGGGTAAAAGAGTCAACAAAAGGTTAGATAGATAAAACAAGAGTCGTTAGCAAACTCACCAATCAGGAAAATGAGAAGAAACACTGAGAAAACTATTCGAACAGGTCGACGATATTGCATGTAATACTGAGATCTTTGCAGCTGGCGCTGAACGGCACCATACCAACCATACAGTTGCTTATCATAACAATCATCACAACCATCAAGGCAACTCTTATTCCTATCATAGCATGTGTTTATGTTCTGCAATAGAAGTACTAGATCTCATCACATAAACATCATTTACTGATATGAAAAATATACAACTATTTCTGGAGCTTTCATAAATACTACACTTGTGCCAACTGATTTTATTTAGTTTTTACAAGTCCAACTGATTTTTTATTTTATTTTTATAACTCGTAACCTTACTCTATATATCCACATGTATACTACAACCAAAAGTGTAGTTCCCCTTCAAAAGTATTACAATCTATCAAAAGCGCAAAACTATATTTTACATAGTTTGGTTCTTTAAATTAAAACTTTATAATTTTAATTCCTGATCTTTTATGGAATATATTTTGAGTATATATTCTCATAATAATGGACAGGGTTAATTTGTTGTTTTACTCGTTTGGGTTCTCTTTTTCAAATTTTGAAATAATTGATATCAATGACTCAAAAATGAGAATTTTGACATTGTAATCAAATAAATGGTCCAAAGAGAGTACTGTAGAACAAATTGGGATACTATAAGAACAGTGAATTACCCTTGTTGGTGGCTGAGTGCGCGGCAATGTATTGCCAGCTTCTTGATTGAACTTCAACTTCCTGTAACCATTCTTGGGCCATTTTAACTCCTTAACAGATTCCACGGCATTCAACAATCCCTGGTAACTGGGTATTCTGCGAGGAGGGGGTGCAGGTTCTTTGATGGAAATATCATTGCCAAGTGCAATCTGCCATGCACCAATGTCAGCACTAGCACTTGCTGTTCTCCGGTGGCCCAGAAACTTCTCGTCTATGGCCTCACCTCGAACACCATCCTCTGAATGAAGAGGATTCTCAGAACACTCGGGAAGTGATTGATTTACAGCCTCTTCCCACTTGGGAATTTGCAGCTCCACTCCATGTACTTTTGCATGGGTTATCCCTGCAGAAGAGGTGGATGGGCCAGAGAGAAATGCAGCAAGTTCATCGACTTCCCCCTCATCCAAACGCACCCATGGAAGTGGTGGCTTGCCTTGTGAAACAGCTGATTCATTAAGAGAATTCTCAACTTTCTTAATCTGACTGTCGATTGCAATAAAAAATTCATGGTGTCTATCTCTTGCATCATCAGCAGATTTACTATTGTAGCTCGATCTAACTGCCCGGTCAAATTCCTCCAGCTGCATTACAACGCCATCCAACATATTAACTCAGCTCTAACCCTTTATGCACATACACCAATAACATCCCATACACAAGACAGATGCACAATAAAATCATTTCTTAGTTTTATTTCTTTTAGGGGGTTATGGATTAAATTTCCTACCTGCCATTTAGCAGTGCCAAGGGTAGTTCTAAGGTCCCTGCGAAGCGCATCACAATTCCAACTACCAGAAGTATCCTTCAAGGCATGAATCCACGTCCTATAAGTTGATTCCATTCTTGAAAATGAAAACAAAAGTATGTCAATAAAGAAGGAAAAAACACCGACATACCAAAACAAATAAAGCTTCAATCTTTCTTCTTATAGATATAAGGTAACTCTGTCCACCAAGCTATGACAGACGGGAAGAAATCACCTAGTGTTTTTTGTCTCCGCTGGGATTTGAACCAGAGACATCATGGTTCTCAACCCACCTCATCGACCACTAGACAACACCCTTGGGTTCTAATAAAGCTTCAATCTTTACATCACTAATCATCAAAAAAATCACAGATAAAACTAAAAAAATCCAACTCAAATGACAATTCTAGCAAAATCAATCCAAACCCACCAAACAAATAAGAAGAAAATTGTAATTAAAAAGCAAAAACAGGTTACCTGTCGGCAGATTCTTGAACCTCTTCTGCAGCTGAAAAGAATGGATCTTTCTCCCACCTATCAAAATGCGACGCCATATCTTCCAAGTTTTACTTTCTCCTTCTATTTATCACCAAAAAATGAGCAAAAATACCCAAAAATAACTCTTCTCAGGTCAAAAAACCATCGAAAAATGAACGAATCCAAGTGTATTTTCGATTTGAGATCAAACCCAGATTCAATAAATCCTCTCTCGTTTATTATCTGCAGGTAATTCTCAGGTCAAAAAACCATCGAAAAATGAACGAATCCAAGTGTATTTTCGATTTGAGATCAAACCCAGATTCAATAAATCCTCTCTCGTTTATTATTTGCAGGTAATTTACCAACAAAATGGACAAGAAAAACTGTTGGTGAGAAGATATAGGTAAAAAGTAATTGTCAAAACAGAGGATTATTTAAAGCTGTTTTGTGGCGCACACCCGTAAAGAAGGGCTTGAGAGAGTTTCCCGGAGAGTGAAGGGACACGGCGCCGTATGGAGAAAACAATTGTGCGAATCAATGACAATGAGGTCCGAGTTGGTTTGACTTTGCTCTGTCGATGGCCGACGGATCTATCTATTTATATGTCGTCTTTATTAAAAATAAATTAATTTATGTTAGTGTGTTGAAATTTCAATAAAATACTAAATAATAAATTTAATAATTTTCTTTAAGAGACTGTGAAATCTAATATAAAAACTGAATTAAACTGACACCTTGTGGCTGTGGTTGGCTGGTTGCTACTTGGTGAAAATCAGCTGACTAAATCCATTAGGACAAACAAAGATACAACTGGAAAATCTCCAAAATTATTTAGGAGTTCCATATCTTAATTACTATATTAAATATTCACAAAGTTTCTGAACAATCATGAATTTATATGCTCTTTATTTTGAGCTTAGTTAGCATATGTGGTCTTTAATTTGGGATATGCATAATTAGATACTTAAGTTTATATAAAATTAAATGATTGGACGTACGTGTTTGGTGTGACAATCTATGTCCTATGTGGCACGACTTGCATGTATTATATCGTGTAGTACGCATGTGTCTACATGTTCAATTTTATAAAATTTTAAGTGTCTAATTATACACACTCAAAATTGAAGAACATAAATATCGATTGAAACCAACTAAAAAGGCACGTTTAAGTATTATTCCTAAATATATTAAAATGCACCTTTGAAAAATAAGATATGAATATCACATTTTCCTTCAAAGTGATCCAAGTGGGCAATACATAGAGAATTTTCTTTTAGTGAAAGGGTTAAAATTCTGCTAAATTATCATTATTTCGTAAATTTCATATCTAAATTATACTCGAATAATCTTCATGAACTATCATAAACTCATTATGTTACATTCCTCATTTTGCCACTTATTCAATCGAGACAAGAGAGTTACTCAAGTGTCAACTAAATTAGTTAGTCCTCTTTGGTTAATCAACTTTAAACAACTTTGGCATTTCTTGCTGTCCCAATCCAAAAATAAATAAATAAAATCAGTAGTTCTGATTTTTCTTATTTGAGATATATACAATCAACATAATAAAATTCTTAAAATATATTTTTTATTAAATAATAAATTAAATATATTAATCAAATATTATAAGGATCAAAGGACAGATGCTTGCAAGTTGCAACCTTGTCAAATTGAGGTCATTTTGTCATCCTAAAACCATACCTTCTTTTTTCTTTTAGTGCATCACACAAAAGCCTTTTGAGTTCTGATGACACTTCACCTTGTGAAATAAAGGAGTCAATAGCAGCATGGATCGTTACACTTTTATTCTTAATTAGAAATCTCGAATTCAAATTTCTATTAATAGAATGAATTTTGTTGGGAGCGCACTCTCTAAATTTATACTCACTCTATTTTTCAATTTATATGTCGTTCTTACTAAAAATAGATGTTCTGTAATACTCCCCCGTCCAACAATGGTTGTCCACTATACTAAAAATAATTGTTCAATAATACTGGTTCAATTGAGAAATCAAGAGATAATTTATTTTTTGTGTCTATTTTACCATTGCTATTAAATACTCCCTCCGTCCCATTTTATATGTCATCCATTTCTATAAATAGCTAGACCACAATACTTGTCATTTTATAAAATTTATGCATAAATTATCATATTTTGCCTACTATACCCTTGATAGAATTAGTTAATTAATCTTGTCATTTATTAATAAAGTTGACTTAAGAAAACATTAAATAAGGGTAAAGTTACATCATTTCTTAATGCAAATGCAAAGTAAAAATGTGACATATAAAATGGGACGGAGGGAGTATTATTTATCATCTAACACATTTCTCAAAGTCTTAAATTTAATAAAGTCAAAGAATAAAACAATAACATTACCCCTATTATTTATTGTTTCTTAAGGGGTGTGACAAGTCAATAGTGTATAACTATTGTTGGAGAGTACTTATCATTTCAAAAAAATCAATTAACCAAGGAAATTAGGGAAAAAAGACAAATATACCTCTGAACTATCGTAAATGGTATTCACATACCCTCTGTCATACTTTTGAGACATTGATGCCCCTCCAAAAACTAGAGCATATATGCTCTACAAGTGTCATAATCTTATCCACCGACTCGACATTTATTAAATATCAGATCGGCGGATAAGATTGCGCCACGTGTCCCTATTTAGTCTTCCGTTAAAGTGAAGAGCATATATGCTCTAGTTTTTTGACGGCATGAGCACCAATGTCCCAATAGTATGACGGAGGGTGTCTGCATATCATTTACGATAGTTCGAAAGTATATTTGTCATTTGTCTAAATAAATTAATTTATGTTCATTTATTGAAAACTTGACTTCAAGAGATCACTTATAAGGGTGTAATGATAAACTTATCTAGTTTATTAAGAAACGTAAAATCTAAAATAATGACATATAAATAGAAACGAAGAAAATAAATATAATGCATAATTTCAAATTAATTGAATTCCAATACAAATACCGACTATCTGAAACAAAAATAAGAGAGTGGAGGAGTGAGGACATCTAAAGCAAACAAGATTAGGCATTAGCAATAACTTTTGTTAAAAGATTTATGGGGTCCTCCATTTTATGTGAATGCGTCAATTCGGCTCTTAGAATTTTATTTTTCTAAAATCTTATCTGCAACATTGTCTAACGTGGCTTTATTCAACCAACCACCTTTTGTCAACTTTGGTTGACTTGACAGTACAGTGTGCATACATTAACACTACTCCCTTACAATTTATTTGTTCCAACTTTTTTTAAAATCTATTTCTAAATATTTTTATATTTTTTTAATGTTAACTTTCCACCTAATATATTTTAAGATCATTAGATATTTTGATATATTTTACATATCTAATAATTTAATATCACAGATTTAAAAGTTTCTTTTTTACTTTCTTAAACTTTGTGTTAAATCAAAACAAGACATTTTGGTACATAGAGAAAAAAAATGGTATATTTCACATATCTTTAATTTAAAATTATGAGATTCAAAAGTTTTTTTTTTTTTTTTTACACTTGGTTTTAAGTCAAAACAAAACAAACTACCACCAAAGGATGTAGTGCAATGGATACAGCTGCTCCTCCTTTAATGAAAGGTCTCGAATTCAAGCCCTTACATGGAAGAATCCTTTGTAGTGAGCATTTCCCCCCGAATGGGGTCCTACTTGATGCGAATCCAAAATAGTCGGGCTCTAATGTGGGTATTGGACACCGAGTGAGAAAAAAATAAAATAAGACAAGCAAATTGAAACGGAGAAAATAGTAAATACAAAATTACCTTATTGAAATCAAAACTTTCGATACTTCAATTGCATTATATTTTTGCTTTATTACTTTCACCAATTGTGTTAGAATGTGGTTATTAGTTGTTTCAACCATTTATTTACCCTATTAACTATCTCATTATCTTCCTATTTATTGCAAGAAAGAATTCTTCACTTATAAATAGTGATGATGAGAATAACAAGAAATATACAAGAAAATATAGAGTGAAAAAATGAGAATTGTACTATACGTGTTTATACTGAGATTATTGTAATGAAAGAAAGAGTTGAGACAAAGAAAAATATTCTAAGTCTTCAACTAATTCACTATAATAAAAGAAAGTAATTATATGTTGAAGGAAAACATTATTTTTGTAGAGCTTTGGACTCTTCAACTAATCCGGAGTTGCTTGAATTGTGCGACATTGTTGGGTTGTTATATCTTGGAGGGGACAAGTCAAGAGTGATACTGCTGGATCAGTGTAGATTATATTGCAGTGAACTTGAATCTCCTAAAAAAGAGCCAGATATCCGCCCCTCGGTATGAATATATTTTTCTATTCATTTTTGTTATTTTATTTGAAACTGTAATTTATTAAATTTGTGGTATATTATACCAATAATTTTAAACAGAGTTCATATTTTTGTTACAGTTTGAAAAAGTGCAGATATCAAGATGGAAGATCTCAACATCATTCTGCTCAACTCACTTCAAGATCCTATTTTGAGCTAGATAGAAAGACTATTTTCAATAGAAAAATAGTCCATATTAGTATAGAGAAAGAAATAACGGAAATGAAGAATTCATGGCAAAATACTATGGAAATTAGATAATTACCTTCAACATTACACTGCATACACTCTAGTACAATAAACCAGTTAAGCACCCTAAGATTTAAACCAACAATACTAGTCCCAGTAATAACATTTTGTGGAACTTTACAACCACTTGGTGTCAAAGGTTATTCATATCGCCTTCCATAAATAGGTGGATGCGTATCTATTGATGATAACCTATGAGAGATGAAGTACATTGTTGGCCTTGATTTTGGAGTTTCAAGCAAACAAGAGCTTGCTAGCTTGATGATAAAAAGCAAAACCTCTTTTACTCTCTCTTCAGGATATGGAAGGCGTTCATCTAGCAAATCGCTAAACTGCAGTACGTTATCTCTAGTCGATGAATTTGCTAGCACAGTAATGTATTCCCCAAGATGCTTTCCTTTTGATTATCTCCAATGCTAATACTCCAAAACTATAGACATCACACATTTGTGTAACCTTCATTGTATATGCAAGCTCTGAAGCAACACAATTTACGAAAAAGTATTACTCCCTAAGTTCAATTTGTATGTCTTAGTTTGACTTGCCACAAAATTTAAGAAGTAAAAGAAGACTTTTAAATCTTGTGATTGTAAACTAAAGATATGTATTGCAACCAAATGTTCTTTAATCTCACGGTCTTAA